AATCTTAGTCAACAGTCATAACAGGAGATCATGGGGCAGTCGGGCATTTGTGTCACGAGTTGGTTATTCTTACATATTTTCAAAACTATTTATATTTATTATTTATATCTTTTTGCAATAGTTTGTCTTGCTTACAACTTTAATAAAATATTGGAAAAGGGAAAAAAATATTAATAAAAATTCATGCACAGACCTGTTACTGTGCCATGATAGTCAGTGACTGATACTAGTGCATTATAAATTAATTGTTATTAATCTTCTTCACAAGCATCAACATTTCCAATAGCACTACTATGAGGGTGAGAAAATCTCGGAGAGCATTTTTGCTCACAAAGACTTTGGTTTGGGTTCCACTCTCTGAGAGCTCATGGCCATTACGCCACTGTACGATCACAAATCAGCATCACCACCAATAATACAACTTGCTGCCACCATTTACCAAAGTAAATAACTATTATAAATGAACTCAGCTCTGCCAAAATATCATAAAAACTCTCAAAAACTATAACAAAATTTTGAATTGCCCATTTAAATCGACTAAAAAAGTAACCGGTATTAATTTTCAAACACAAAGACATAAAAAAAGATTAGTTTTAACTGATTTAAATAATTTTATATAATTCAATATTTAAGGGTTTATACAGACGAATAGTGAAAAGGAATTATTTAACTGTCTGTTACTTGATGGGAATATTTGTTTCTCTTTCAAATTTTTAATTAAGTTGAGAAGTTGTGTAAATATACAAATTAAGTAGTATAAAACATGGAATTTAATTTTTCTATTTTTTAGCTCATAACAGACAGTGCATCTTTGATATTATGCACTACACAAGTATTATTTACATAATCATTAATATCAATATCACCATAAGGGGCGGATCCAGAATTTTACCAAAGGGGGGGGGGTTTGGGAGGGGGCACAACATATTCAGAATAGATAAGTGAGAGTGCTAATTTCAATAAATTTAGTGGATCTACTGGATTCGCCCCTGACCATCACCACCATCACTATTAACAATTTACTCACCATTTACAGCATTTCCAATTCACCTTACAGTAATCAATAGGTTTCTTTCCAACGGCCAAATAAATATTCGAGCCCCATCTTCTTTTTACAATACTAATAAACCATAAAACGTTTACGACGATCGTAATAATGAGGAGTTGATACGATCGCTCAAAGTACTTTGACAAGACGAAAATTAAATACGTATAATACAAGACTGCCAGTATCACATAGATGAACCTAACAATTGCCTTTCTGTTACGCCTCCATATCGAGCTCAATACTTTTTCTATCTGTTCTATTGCCTGTTGGAGGAAAAAAAATATATCACTGGCAAAAAGATACATGAAACGTGTTATGTTTCTTCTATCCCGAAATTGCAAAGTTCTTATTGAAACAGTGGTGGCGGCAGTGCGGGGTCCAGCAGGGCGCGTTACCATCTGCTAGACAACTCTGGACCCCCCTCCCCACATCCCACATCAGGGAAGAAGCTAATTATTCCATCGGGGAACACTGCTTTAAATAAGCATTTTTATTGTCTAAAGGCCAACTCAGACAGCGTTGTACGACGCAGCCCGATGTGATTTGTTGTCGCGTCGGGTCTGTGTGAGTTAAACACAGACGCGATGGTGTGCGTCGGGGGCAGTTGCGTCGTAGAATATTAAACATGTTTAATATTTCTCACGACGGCTTAAGACTGTCCCCGACGATAAATCGGGTCGGGCTGCGTCGGCCGACGCTGTCTGAGTTGGCCTTAAGAGTGCCATTTCTGAGCATTTAGAGGTGCCTATTCTTAAAACTGGCCCCAAACAGTTTTGAATGAGGGGAATTTGGATCCTATTAGGTAACTTGAACCACTCATCAGCGACCTTTGACTGCACATCCTGAAATTTCTGGTGGTGCCATGTCATTGTATTAAAAATTCCTGCAAGTGTCTCTAGCGCCTACGACAATAAAATAGCATTCATATATTGTACTTCAAAATGGTCTAAAGTTAATGTTGCACATTTTAACAGTTATATAGTAGATCTAGATACAAGATCCAATGACAAAATGAAGAGCATAGGATGTTTCTATTTGTGCATTACATTTTCATTTGCATAAAGTGACTACAGTAAACTTAGAAGTACTACGCAACATTATTTCATATTTTTATTTATACAGTATTCTGATTTTTTAAGTGCAATTCAATTTGTTTAATATCATTTTCTTTTAAGCGAACGTCACATATGCAATTCCAATTTTTTGTAACAAAATGAAAAGTTGAAGGTTGAAGTTGAAAGTTGATTACCTCTGTAAAAGCATTTCCCTCTGACTGTACATATACCTGTCCAGTTTCAATGTCGCCCTCTAACGTTGAACATTTGACTACGTCGTCGTCCTCACCCTGAATATCTGACATCTATTGTTATAAAACAATGACAACCAATTACCAATTAGTAATATATAAATTAGTAGTTCTAAAAAAATATTTGAACTGCTGGAGTTAATATAATACATGCGTTTGCTTTAGATGAAAAGTTTTACGAACATAAACCAACTAAACAACACAATCCAGAAAAAACTTGAATGACATTTGAAAAGAGTATTCAAGATTTAATTATTATTTTTGATAACTTAGGCAAGACTTTTTTAATACCTTGTTTAGCGAACTTATTTTTTGTAAGAAAGTCAAAGGACGGCGGGAAAAAATAAAATTTTGTTTTCTTATTTAGTAAAATGATTTTTCCAAAAGCAACTAAGTGGAAAAGAAAAAAAAACATTTTATATTGATTAATGTAAAACAGTGTAGACAAATAATATAAAGTTATATAATTAAGGAAGAAATATATCTTATTTTTGGAGGATTCAAAAAGTGGAAGGCATAATAAAAATAATTTAATTTCTATTTTTTATGAAATAGAGATGATTGAAAAGTGTCTACTTGCCTGAAAGCGAGCAGTAGACACAAAATACCAGAACGCACAATATTACTTTCATTTCCAATTGTTTTTTGTATTTTGGCAACACATCCATTCTTTGGCTTTGAAAGAATTGTGACATCATCATTTGGCATTCAAAGCAATTTTCCCATACCAATTCATAAAATAACTTTCCAATAGAGCATTCATTTGACCTCCATACACTGAAGGTCTACCACCTTCTTTTGGCAAAACATACTGTTATAGTATATTTTTTATACTTATCCTTAATGTTCATTTGAAACTTTTGGAATCATAAGACTTCTTTGGTTTTTAATTTGAAGCAAATGGCAACGTTTTAATCTGAAACGATGACAGCCCTACCAATGATTTTGGGGCAGCGGTGTAACGACTGGGGGCGAAAACGTGCTGAGGCCCATGAAAGTATTCGCTTAACTAAGAACATTATAAATATTAAGGCTGAAAAGACTGCATTAAAAGCAATGCCAGTATTGTTAAATAATTTATACTGTGTGACTATTAAGTTATTACTGTTATTGTTCTTTATTGAATGTTAGTATTACTTATTTAATTACTGCTGTTACTACTGATCATTATTGATTATCATCATTATTATTATCAATCCTTACTAACTGTATAGTATTATTATTGATTGTTGCTATTACTATTATTAATATCTTATTGCTTTTCGGTTTAATAATTCCACTATTACACCAGTCTTTGTTATTACTTTTTTATTCAGCAGTCGACATGGCTGCAGATGTCCGAAAGATAATGGACCGTTCCGCTAAGCTCCGCCCCTTGGATACTGTTGCTAAGGTCCCACAAGACGACAGTTTTAAAACACACGGACAACACATGTGTTTGTGAGACGCGCGCGTATTCCTGGCCCTGCTATGATTGGTCTGTTGTTAAGTTTGATTGACACTCCGGAAATGTCTATTGTGTCTTCAGCCTTTAAGTCCTGATCCTGAAGCATAGATCCCTTGCCAATACAACATACTTCCACAAGTAGGGGCCTTACAGTAGTGTAATACCATCTGGTCTCAAGACCGTAAACTGTCACGACACCATTTTTCAAGAAGACAGACTCTCGTTTGAAGATTTCTAAAATTGTGACCAATCTCAAAACCTGCCTGCCATTTCTCGCAGACGTTTTCTCTATGCAGGCCCTCCCAATCACGTATCCAAGATATAATAGCAGGCATTTTTTTTGCTACCACTAATTCTGCTTTATCGACCACCTCATATACAGCCCTAGTAGATGTTCACAAAGAAACATGTGTCTCGGCTTTTAATCAATACTAGATTTTCACAATAAACTGTGGATATTAACGATCAATCCAAGGACATATTAAACAGACTCTAGTCTATTTAATACCTCCTTCATCATCAAAAGTTCTTAGTACATTAATCAACACACTTTGGAACTGAATGAATAGTATTGGTTTTAGTCTTGCCTTGAGGACTGCAAAATGTCCTGTAAGGTTAGCATTTTTTATGATCTACCCCGGGCACCCTAGTAACTTCAGAGCACTACAGTAGGTGCGAGAATTTCATGGCTTACACTACTGTATAAGCATAAACTAGAAATTGCAAATTGCAAGTGAAGTGCTGCGAAGTACAACAGCATATAAATGTTCTTCGAACAAATTTATTTATGCGAGTCAAGTGAAAATAATGAATAATAAAAATATAACAAATAATATGAGACACGACCCATTGTCTATAATTAGAACACTTCTTATTGGGTAACAAAGTCGTAATTTTTCATTTTTGTCAAAAAGTGTCTATAGTGGTGAATTATGGTTTAGGTTTTTTTTAATAAAGTTTCAAAAATTTCTATGTATGTGGAAAATGTAGTTGATTACCAAAGGTTACAATTTTTATTTTGAAGACTGCATGGTATAGAGTGTACATTTTTTTATGGGGCAAGTGTCCAAGGGCGGGTTTTCTAGGGGCGAGTTGACTGCCAAAGAGTGTTGCCAAAGTGCGAGCCAGCGTGTTATTTGATCACAAGTGCGAGACATCGCAAGTGTGAGCCAGCGAGCCATGACATCACGACAATAGATATGAGACGTTGTTAACGAGTTGTGTGAGGTATCGGCTGAGATTTGTGGAGTACAATTCAAAAAACAACTATAGGTCTAATAATGAATTATTGTGATGTTAAATAGACAATATGTTAGCTATCAAGGAGCAACGTTGTTTTTCATTGGGACCTTCGTCCCTTCAAGGCTAAACCTAGATACCATCCTAGCTAGTCTAGGCCTAGAGTAGGATAAGGCTAGCGCGACATGCGGATGTTGGTACGTGTTGGTTAGTCTACAAACGTCGCCTAAAGTAATTGATTTTACCCGGCAGAACGAAAGAAGGAAACTCCACTTTTCAGTCATCTTAGGCCCTGTATTTTGACAAACAACGACCTTTCAGAGGTCAAATTGCTGAATTTGAATATGAATTGGCTGCTTCGCAGCAATAAATGTACAGTACATTAAGAATATGTATATTGTGGCTGGTTTTCATCTTCATCATTAATGGCAACATCAAGTCATTTTGATTTAAGTTTGGTTCAGGAAAATATCATAGGAGTGATGTTTTGAACTACCTGAAGTGTTTACGTACCGAATACTCAGTACATTCCCAGATACTTGCTGAAAAAATGATTTGAGTGGGAATCGAACCCACGACCTCCAAATAACTAGCCTGCCGCCATAACCACTAGATTACTGAGCTTACACTATAGTGACTACAGTAGTGTTGAATCCGATCGCCAAGTAGCAGCTGGTACTGCAAATACTATTTCGATCAGGCCAACTACAGTAAACTGGATATACAGTTCACCCTCAAATTTGAGACCACTTTGGGTGCTGAAAATTTGAGGTGGTCTTGGGATTCGGTCTCCAATTAACATCTCGACGAGATTTGATTGACAGATAAACCGACTAATCAGCGAGCGTCATTTAGTCACGTGATCAAAAACTTTTTCTCTGACATTTTAATTTCCTTACAGCTGGTTGTCAACGTGAAACATACGTGAGCCTAGGCCTAGATGTCTATGCTCGGTTGTTGTAGATACCCAGATTTACACGAGCGCAGTACGCTGCCTCATTAGTGACTTTGCCTTTGCCGACAACGAGGTTGACTGAATGCGGCTTTTCCCTCTTCCTTTGGGAGGAACAATTTCCTCGCCTGTTCCATGAATAAGATTAACACAATGAAGAATATATGATTTATTTTTATACCGCCTGCCCTGAATTCTCTTTCTTAAAGAAGTTTGATAGCAAAGAAAATGTTCGCCAACTCGCCAGCCGCCATTGTCTAAAGTTTTTGTGACTTTGTGGGCGGGGCTTCACGTCCTTGTCGACATGTAAATTAGAGGATTACTGTAGCTTTGTATTAAAAGATTGAAGATTGTTATTTGGTTCTTTAAAATAGTGGTCTCGAAGGGGTCTCGGAATTAGAGGGGTCCCAGAATTAGAGGGGTATCGAACTGGAGTGTGCAAAAAAAAAAAAAAGGAGGAAATTGGGATTTTTTTTTGCAATTTAAATAACATTAAAGAAATCCTATATTTCAAGATTTTGGATATGCTGGAGCTTTTACCATGACTGTTATTATTAATTCTGTATCTCAAAGCATTAGGCTAAAATAGAGATTATCTAGATCTACAAGATTTGATTTAGCTCTGATCAATATCAAGTAGAACATATAGTACATCAAGTGAATTTTTTTTACATCAATACAATACTTTATACAATGCAACATATTTCAATGTTATACCTCAACTGATTTACAAGGTCAAGTTGCTTCTATAAAATCAGCAATGTCATCGAGTTAATTTGAAAACCACAAGTGCATATCAAACAGTTACGTGTCTTCCTCCCTATTTCCTTTCATTTCCCTTGGCAAGCCATATAACTGAGCTATGCATACTGTAAATTATAGGTTATGTCATACATATGATACAGTTGATTCCTTAAATGTTGCGGGTTGCAAGTGCAAATAATTTTCATACTTTAATGGTTTCTATAAACAGTTTAAATTGACCAGCAAAGTATTACAAATTGGTATTAGGATGCACAAAAATATGTTATAAAATATGTTATAAATCTCATTCAAATCAAACGATTTTACAGGTATATTAACATTATTGGAGCAGCTTTGAATTTTTAAAAAATTTATTTTTATTTCAAATACAACAAAGAATTCACAGCAAGGTATTGTAATAAAATATCATAAAAGCAATCAAGACTTTTATAATCAAAACAACTGAGATTGTTTGAAATCAAAATATTTGAAATGGGGTGGGGGCACAAACTTTCATGATAAAGCTTAACTCAGGGGTGCTAGTAGCAGAATACGGCAATAGCAGTGATGCAGAGATTCCAAGTTAAACCAATTTCTAGGTGTGAGACTTTAGTTTTAAAAACTCATCCCCAAAGGGGTCTTGTGGAAGTTTTTCCTACTTGCCCGGAAATG